TGGGCCGGTGGTGAACCCCAACAGTGGTGGCAGCTGGTGGTGCCTTGAGCCACAAACCCGCAGCTTGTTCGTGGTAGGGAGCTCTAATGTGGGGCTGCGTCCCCTTTAAAAACCCACACTGGAGCTGCGGGCGTTGGGATGGGGGCCTGGAGGAGGCTGCTGATGTGCTCCCCAAAATACCCCAGTCCTGATGCCACTCCTTCCCCTTTTCCTCTTTCATCTCCCAGCATCATCCTCATCCCCACGGTTCTCCTCTGACCTGGAGCAAGCGAGGCCCCAGACGACGGGCGAGGAGGAGCTGCAGCTGCAGCTTGCGCTGGCCATGAGTCGGGAGGAGGCGGAGAAGGTAGGGTGGCTCTGCCCGCCCCGGGGTGCGTGCAGCTGGGCATCTCCCTGCGCCTCGCCTTGTCTGAGGGCATGGCGGGTCGTTTCCCTGGGAGGAGGGAGGAATTTGGGGGCTGCCTGAGGCCGGTGCGTGCACCTGCAACCACACTAGGCTGCCAAATTGCCAGCAGGCAGGAGGCACGGGCTGTCCCTGCTCCCTGTCCTCGTACCGGTGGGGACAGCATCAGGCTGAGACCCATCCAAGCCTCCCAGACCCCAGGGTGAACCTGGGGGGGGGTTTCTGGATTCACTGTGATGTCCCTCAAACCTGGCTGCCCTCTTCCACCAATGCTTCTGGACTAAGCTCCCTAAGGAAGAAATTCTTCCCTGTGAGGGTGGTGAGACACTGGCACAGGTTGCTCAGAGCAGCTGTGGCTGCCCCCTCCCTGGCAGTGCTCAAGGCCAGGCTGGATGGGGCTGGGAGCAACCTGGTCTGGTGGGAGGTGTCCCTGCCCAGGGCAGGGGGGTTGGAACTGGATGGTCTGTGAGGTCCCTTCCAACCCAAACCCTTCTGTGAGTCTACGATTTCTCTTGCCTTCCTCATGGAGGTTTTGAGAGGCGATGCCTTGCCCAGTGCCGTGGTTTGCATGGTGGGTGGGGGGCAGCAGTGTCCCCGAGGCTGCGCACCGTGCTGGGGACTCAGTCCTTTCAAACTGGGCTAGAAGGAGCACTGGAAAACAGCACCAGGAGGAGCCGACTAGGGATGCGGGCAGCGAGCGAGCTGCTGTGCCCAACTGTGAAACCTCCCCCAGGGCTGTCTCCTGGCCACGGCCCCTTTTCCACCGGAGACAGCTTATTTGCGCACCGGCCGAGATTGCCGCCGGCTGGCACGGCCTGTGCGGAGCACGTGGCTACGGCCGGGCACACAATGTCAGAGGGACTCGGTGACCGAAGGGCTGTGTGCCCAGCCTGGCGGGCGTCCCCCTGGGGCTGGCACCGAGCACCATGAGCCCGGTCCTGCCGGAGCAGGGGACATGCTTCGGAGATGGTGCTTGCTGCTGCCGGTCTTCCCTGCCCGATGGAGGCTCTTTTGGAGATGGAGCGGAGTGTATATCCCTATTTTTGTCCTGGAATTGGAGTATTTATAGCTTCCACATGCTGCTGCGATGAGCACTGTAGGAACACGCTCTTGCAAGCATTGCGTGTTGAAGTCCCTCTTGGCTGTGCACACGCGCACATGCTTGTACAGGTGTGCACACATGCACACCCCCACTGGGGTCCCCATTCCCAGCCCCAGCTGGTCCCACGCTGCTGAACAAGTGTCAGGGGGTGGTGATCAGGGCTGCCATGGCGGTACAGGGACAGCCTCTCCCCAAAATCTGCCTCAGGGCTGGGCACAGAGCAGGGCTGGGCAGGATTGCCAAACCGAGGCTGGCCGGCATCGCAAACCCTCCTCCCCAGCAGGTTGCCGGGGCGAGCGGACACCTAATCGATTCCCTCTTCTCCACAAGCTGCATCAGAGTCCCCAAAAACCTCCTGGGGGACATGCTAGCTGCCTAATTTAGGGTCATCCCAGCCTAGATGCAGAGGCAGGTGATGGGGTAGCGGGAAGGAGCTGGGGCAGTGGCCACAGGGGAGCCTGAGTGGGAGCTGGTTTGAGAGTGTAAGGGCACTGGGCTGGGGGTCCGCAGGCAAAGCCAGCTGGACGGGCACAGAGATCCTGTGCAGGCAGATGAGGGGCCACAGGAGAGATGGTGGCGAGGACAGGGTCCTCCGAGCAGTCCTGTGAGCTGAGGGCAAGCTGAAATGTCACCCGATTTCCTCTGTTGGCAGAAGCCACTTCCTCCAATTTCCAGTACAGATGAAGAAAGGCAATTGCAGCTAGCGCTCGCGCTGAGCAAAGAGGAGCACGAGAAGGTACCTGTGCCCCGCAGCCCCGGGCACTTCTCTCTCCTTGCACTTGGGCTTCTCTCTGGGGTGCTGGAGCCCGAAATGCTGCCTTGCTGCGGCACCTGCTTTGCTTTCGCTGCTCTGGGCTGTCTGCTGAGCGTTCTCCCAGCGGGCTCAGCCCCAGAGGAGCCGTCTGCTCGGATGGCGGGACTTTTCGGGGATGCGGTGGCAGCTCTTGTGCTGGGTCTGTCTCCTGGAGAAGGTGCTGGCTGCAGGGTTGCTGAGCTCACGGGCCCCGTCCCTTGTCCCTGCAGGAGGTGAGGGCTTGGCAAGGGGAGAACTCCCTGCTGCAGAGAGCCACAGAGGAGACTGCCCAGGGCAGGGAGGAAGAGGAGGAAGAAGATAAGATGAAGAAAAGCCAGGTACAGCACTGGGGGCCTGGATGGCCACGCAGCCAGCCTTGGGCTCTGGGGTGATTCTCCAGGTCTGCTCGTGGCTTCCCTCACCTCTTTATTCCCTTTCTGTTTGCAGTCCTCTATCCTGGAGCTGGCAGATATATTTGGGCCGGCGCCAGCCCCCTCCAGCCACAAGTCCGCCGACCCGTGGGATATGCCAGGTGGGGGCAACTCGCAGGCTGCCAAAGCTTGGGACAGGGCAGAAACCTCTCCCTTGCCTCTGTCCCTCCCCAGTCCCCAGGAGCTCAACAGTGAGGACCTCTTGCTTCTCCCCCCGCTCCGCTGCCCATCTGTTGCATGCTCGGGTGGTGCTGCTGGAAGCCATGGTCCCCTGGGCACGTCCCTGCCGCTCAGCATCCCTCCGTGTCCTGCACCATTCCCCTCTTCCACAGCTTCCCTTCTTCTTTCAGATATGAAACCCAAAGCGGAGCCGGCAGCCTCTGCTTGGGCCGGTGCTCTCCGCCCCCTGGGTGCCGGTCCCAGCCACCGGCGGGGAGCCCCTCTCCCAGGCGAGCGCCTCGTCCCAGCAAACCTCCGGGGGGCCCTGGGATTTTCCCCCTGGCACCACTGCAGCCTCCGACCCTTGGGGGAAGGCGCCCTTGTCTTCTGGCTTCCCTCCTGCGGACCCCTGGGTGACGGCATCCCCCCCTGCCCAGGTCTCTGGTTCTACACCAGCTACCGACCCTTGGGCTGCTGTGGCCGAGCAACCTCCTAACCCTGGTAAGAGGCTCGATCTGTGTTTTGGCTTTGCTGGGGACCACGGGTAGCGTTGGCCATCGCTGCCTTCCTGCGAGTGGGCATCCTGGGGTGCTCCCCCCTTCCTCCTGCAGCCAACTCTGCAAACACCAACCCCCCCC